CAAACTGATTTTTAAGAACGCTGTCTACTCGTAATATGAGCACTGATTTGCGGGTTGAGCTGTACGAGGCTTCCGGCGGTAACCTGGTTGACGTTTTTCCGCCGGCTCCCAGTAATGCCTCGCTGAGCTCTTCGGCATCAATGAGCCAGAGGAATTCTGGCGTGGGGTGGAGCTGGTTGGCCCACCCGGCCCGGGCGAGACGACTTCGTATAACCCCCCCCAAAATGCATCCTGCGAGTGACTCGTAGAGCTTCCCTAAGAGCGACGCGGCAAGCTAGAGAGTAATTCCGGCGCGCTGGCGGGCTAGTTGTACCGAAAAATATCGACGGAAGTTTTGCATAATTTTGGTCGGTTAAGAATCAATTTCTCGAAACTTGAACAATTTGTTAGATCTCTAATATTTTTCCCCTATCTTCGATCTCATTCCCGCTCGCCATCTTAATATCAGGTCGATCGCGTGGATATTGTTGTCAAAAAGCATGTGGGCGGGATCGGCTGTTGAGTGTCATCTTGGCAGGTGCTGTCGGTTTTCTTAACCAAGCTCGGGCTGCAGGTGTGCTACAGAGCTGTTCGGCGCAGCAATCGAAAAGGAATCAGCATAAACACGAGTCTCAAGTATCTAGTTGCCCGAATTCGGTCGGCTACCAAAACTGGGACCAAACAGCTATTCGTACTCTGTTAATTTTTTCAAGAGATGATGCTGGCTTCTTATCTTAGCTCGAGCTGCAGATGAGCTAGAGAGCTTTTGGGCACAGCAATCGGAAGGAAATCATCAGGAGCGCTGGCATCGAGTATGTAGATGCCTGAAATCGGTCTGCTACCAGAGCGGGAACTAATCAACTATTCGCACTCTGCCTTTTTTTATGAGTGGATGATAGTTTTCTATACTTTTTTTCGAGATGTAGGCTGTCTATGGAGCTGAAAAGCGCTTTCAGACGCAAAAGGTCACCAGGTGCATTCGCTTGCGGTTTCGAGACGTCTGGATTTGGCCTGTAACCATAGCTGCAATTGGAACAAGTATTCGCACTGTAAATATTTTCGGAGAGATGAGGTGCGCTTCCTGAACTGAATTTGACATCAAGGCCAGTTAAGAAACTGATATGCAGACCGATCGACAGAGCATGCTGCGACACATCGGTCTACAGTCTAGACGCCTGTGATCGGTCTGCTACCAGAGCTGCATCCAAATAATTATTTGCATCCTCTCATTTTTATGAGAGACGGTGTTGGATTTCACTGAATTGGAGTTATAGGCAAACGAGGAAGCTGGGAAGCACACCGCTGACCAGGACATCGTCAGACACAGTGGCCTAGAGTATCGAAGCGTCTGAGATTGGTCTGCTAGCAGAGCTACACCTGAGCACTTTGCAATATTTTGTCAGAGAGAATTTATACTTTCTGTACTCAATTCGAGCTATAGGCTAAATACGGAGCTCAGATATACACCAATCTACAGGATATGCTGGGAAGCGCGAGTTGAAAGCATTTATACGGCTGGGATCGGTCTGCTTCCAGAAGTGCGATTAAACAATTATTTATGCTCTTCAATTTTTAGATTGGCAGTGTCTTAATTCGAGCTGTGCGCAAGCTACAGAGCTGGGAGCGGACTTTTCGATTGGGAATGATCACGAGCGCTAGTCTTCATTCAGTATCGAGACGAATTCGAGCTTTGGACAAGCAAAGAGCTGTGCAGCAACTTCTCCTCCTCCTTCTCTTGCTCCTCCTCTTCTTCCCCCTCTGTTTTCCTCTCCTCCTCCTTTTCCTCCTCCTCCCCCTACTCGTTCCTCTTCTTCTCCTCCTCCTTCGCCTCCTCCTCCTCCTCCTCCTCCCATCTCCCCTCCCTCCGCCTCCTTCTCTTCTTCCTCCTTTCCCCTCCTCCTCCTCCTCCTCCTCCTCCTCCTCCTCCTCCTCCTCCTCCTTCTCTTCCTCCTCCATCTGTTCCGTCTCCTCTTTCTCCTCCTCCTCCTTCTCTTCCTCCTCCTCCTCATATTCATCATCATCCCCCTTCTCCCCCTCCACCCTTCCCCTCCTCCTGCTCGCCATTTCCTCCTCTTCTTCTCCCCCTCCTCCTCCTCCTGCTCCTTCTTCTCCTTCTCTTCCTCAGCCCCCTCCACCTTCTTCTCCTCCTCGCTCGTTCTTCTCCTCCGCGTCCTCCTCCATGAGACCGCACCTTCGCGCGCGCGGAATGCGATATTGCCGCGCCCGTATGCCATTCATGTATATCGCAAGGAAGTTCTACGAGTTACCTGCGGTAATCAAGGTTGACGGCTTACCGCCGGGTCCCAGTGCTGAAAAGCACCAGTCTAAAGTAACTAGACGCCTGGAATTGATCTGCTACCAGCGGCCACTAATCATTTGCACTTCGTCATTTTCAGGAGAGACGGTGTCAGATCTTTCTGTATTAATTCGAGTTATAGGCAAGCTAGGGAGCTGGGAAGCACACCGCTCAACAGGAAACCATCAGACAGAGTGCCCTACAGTATCGAGACGTGTGAGATTGGTCTTCTACCAGAGCTACAACTGAACAGTAACTTGCACTCTGTAATTTGTTCTGAAAGGTTTTTTTTGTACTTTATTCGAGGTGTAGGCTAGATACGGAGCTGATATACACACCAACGGACAGACAAATCTGAGAAGCGCTAGTTGAAAGCATTTAGATGGTTGATATCGGTCTGCTACCGAATTGCAACTAGCAAACCATCAGTGCTCTTCAAATTCCACATAGGCGGTGTTGCTTCTCTCTATTCAACTCGCGCTGAAGGCAAGCTACAGAGCTGGGAAGCAGACTGTTCGAAGGGAGTGATTACGAGCGCTAGTCTGCAGTATCGAGGCGAACTCGAGATGTGGACAAACAGCGAGCTCTGAACACATTTCTATGAAACCGCACCCTCGCGCGCGCGGAATGCGACATTGCCGCGCTCGCATGCCATTCGTGTATACTTCAGGAAGCTCTACGAGCTTCTGGCGGTAACCTGGGTTCACGGTTTACCGCCGGCTCCCAGTTCGTGGCTTAGGTGCAGCCAGGTTGAAGAAGGCGGGTGTCCGGTTTTGTCGTCAGGTTCCAGGTGTGCGATCACGTCTTGTTCGGCAGTCACGGATCGAAGGTTCAGGAGTGTCGGGTGGGACAGTTAAGTGGGTGCTTGTACGTGCTCTCTCTTGCAACCTTTGGTATCCTGGGGTCTGCTTGGGTTATATTTTGGACAGCTCGGGGCCTCAACAATAGTGGTATTTCTTAAGGGAATGTACGGTCTCTGCGGTTCATTCCGGGACCAGAACAGGAGGGAAGATGCGGAGTTGAAGGAGGAGGACGACGACGACGACGAAAAGGTTGGCGAGCAAGGAGCAGAAGGGCCTGTTGCCCGCGTTGTGCCACGATCACACGTGTATTGAAATTATACGGCCTACGTGATTCGAAGCGCTTATCAGAGGGGCGGGTGGGGGTCAGGGATGGCTGCTGATTGGGGCCTCCCGCTTTTGCGCCAGAGCTTTCACATATTGCACTCTGCCTCACTTCCGCCGCACCGCAGACTGAAACGCACAGGTGCTGTCCAGTGCTCTCCCGACATGGTTGCTATCACGGTTCCGCGGTTCTGGGAGTTTCCAGCACCCTAATTATGTGGAGGATTTCACACGTCGGAAGGTGGTAAAACGAGGATAAGTCCGCTCCAGGGCGTCCCGGAACGCTCTCGGAGAGTTCTGGAATGCCCGGAGGAGGCCGCGGCGCCCAAGATGTCCTCCAGAGCCGCTGGACCTCAGAGATTCTCGATGTTACACTGATCCGATCTTACCCTCGTCTTGGCCTCGTCCTACGAGGGGCCGTACCCGGACCAGGCACATCCCGGAACCTCCGGGAGAGGCCTCCACGTGTTTTGGCCACTGCGAGGCGGAGTCCCGTCCAGAGCCCCGGAGAGCCGCCGCCTCCGACCGCCCGCGTGCAGCAGGCAGGCAGCAGCGCTGGGGCAGGGTGCCTCCCTCGATTTTCGGGGGCGGAGAAGGGGGGGGTGATGACTAGGGGGGGGTGGATATCATGGCGGGGGCCATGATATTTCCCCAGATTTCATGGCGCCTCTTCTTATTTCGTTACGTCCCTGGCCCCCCCGCTGGACCGCGCACATGCCGCCGGCCATGATTTGCACCCCCCCCTCTTGGACACCCCCCTCTTGGCCGCTCCCGAGATTTGTTCTCGGCTTCGGCTGACCACTCGGCAGAGATGTCAACGCGTTTGCCGCATGCGATGTGCTGCGAACCGCGGTCCGTCACCGCGCAGAAGGCGCATGGCGGGGCCCTGGTTTGTGCAAAGCGGCCTGCGCAATTCACCTTGTGCACAACCAGGGCCCTGCCTCCTCCCCGCGGTGCAGTGCACCGAGCTGCTGTCGCAATGCAAGGGGATGATGATGGGTGCTTTCTTCTTCGGACCTTGATTGCAAACGCTCCAAACACGTGTCTCCGTTGTTTGCTTTCGCGCCGCCTTTGGTGGTTTCTGATGTTTTATTTGCTGCATGCGCTGGGTTGCGCTCACTGCATGTTTTGGCTTAGGATGGCCTCAGCCAGCGCGAGAGACCGAAAGCATCGGTCATTGCCGCTGCGCTCAGAGAGCGGCGTCACGAAGGGCGCGCGGTCCTGCAGGGGCCCGTCGTTTCTTCCTTCTCCCTGCCGCCTCGTCGTTTGTTCCCTCCTTTTTGCTCGTGTCCTCGTCGTCATCGTCCTCCTCCTCCTCCGAGCAGTGTGGGCGGGCGCGGCGGTATCCCCGGGCCGACGCCTGTGCTGGGAGATGCAAGACGTCCTGCGATGCTCCCAGGATGGCCCAAGATGCTTCCAAGAATGGCTCCAGAAGAGCCCAATATGGGGAGGTCTACAGGTCCCCGGCTGCCCTTCCTCCCAAGATCGCCCCCAAGGTGCCCCCAAGAGGCCCCCAGAAGGCCCCCCAAACCCGTCAGAGTCCCCCAAGAAACCTCTGAAAGATTCCTAGAGTCCCCCGTAGAAGTCCCCCTCTAAAAGAGGCCATTCTGGCTCAAGCCTCTCCCGCAGTTGGCTGCAACTTGGAACGTCGCAGGTGCGAGCCCCGTCCCTTGCCAGCCAGCAGGTCGTCGGCGCCGTCGCGATGGGCTGCTGTGTCGCGCGTGGCGCGCGCGCAGCTGACCGCCTGGCCCTCGAGGAGGACCCCCCGCTGGAGCCCGCGGGCGGCGACGGCGCGCCCGGCGGAGAGGCAAGCGAGAAGCAGCCACACATGCCGGTGCTGCAGGAGGTCGAGTGTTCAGCTGACCGCCCGGCCCTCGAGGAGGACCCCCCGCTGGAGCCCGCGGGCGGCGACGGCGCGCCCGGCGGAGAGGCAAGCGAGAAGCAGCCACACATGCCGGTGCTGCAGGAGGTCGAGTGTTCAGCTGACCGCCCGGCCCTCGAGGAGGACCCCCCGCTGGAGCCCGCGGGCGGCGACGGCGCGCCCGGCGGAGAGGCAAGCGAGCAGCAGCCACACATGCTGGTGTCTCGGAAGGTCGAGTGTTCAGATGACAAGTTCAACAAGTGGATCGAGCTGGGCGGCTGGGAGTTCTTCTCCGTGCTAACGAGCGGAGCGGCGCTCCTATTGGACGCGGAGTGGATGGTTCAGCAGGCAGAGTCTGGCGGGATTCTGAAGCCGCGCCAGGCCTTGCCACCGGCCGCCTTCAAGTCGGAGTCTGGGGTCGTGGCTGGCACGCCTACCTGCTATATGCCCGATCCCAAACTGCACGTAGTCTGTATTTCACACTGCTGGCTGCAGGCGGACCATCCGGACCCACGCGGGCACAACCTGCGCATCTTGGCCAGGGCCTTGCGGCTGTTGGACGCAAACATGTGGGGGCCTGGGCCCCGGCGCATGGGCCCTTGGGCGGTGTTCATGGACTTATGCTGCATACATCAGAACTGCCGGGATCGCAAGGGCGTTCCTCAGCAGCGCACGTATCAGCGGCTGGAGGGATCCGACAAATTCGCGGACGGCGCGATCGGCCGCTTCGACTCCGAGAATGTCCTCTTTAAGGAGGCGTTGGGGAGCCTTGGGAGCTTCTACTCGCACCCCTGCACATATGTCTTCATGCTGACCAAGTTCCCGGAAGACTATCAGACTGCAGCCTACACCCACTCTGGTAATCCGTAATGGCTTCGCCCCCTGCCGCTGGCCCCCTCTCTCAGAGAATGGGCCATGGAAGAGCGAAGTCATGAGGCTTTGGCTTCGCCATGAAGCAGTGTCAGGACCTGTTTGTTTTTCGACCCTGACCCTACGGATCTGCGTGAGGGGTGCCGCCGAATTTCAGAAATGTAGCAAATCCCTTGGTTTTTGGACCCTGACCCCGCCGATCTGCGTGAGGGGTGCCGCCGAATTTTAGAAATGTGGCAAATCCCTCGGGTTTTTGGACCCTGACCCCGCCGATCTGCGTGAGGGGTGCCGCCGAATTTCAGAAATGTGGCAAATCCCTTTTGTTTTTGGACCCTGACCCCGCCGATCTGCGTGAGGGGTGTTGCCGAATGTGGCAAATCCTTTGTCTTTTTGGACCCTGACCCCGCCGATCTGCGTAAGGGGTGCGACCGAATTTGAGAAATGTGGCAAATCCCGTATCTTTTTGGACCGTGACCCCGCCGATCTGCATGAGGGGTGCCGCCGAATTTTAGACATGTGGCAAATCCCTTATGTTTTTGGACCCTGACCCCGCCGATCTGCGTGAGGGGTGCCGCCGAATCTTTAAAAGTCGCAGATCCTTTGTGTTTTTGGATGCTGACCCCGCCGATCTGCGTGAGGGGTGTCACCGAATTTTAAAAGTCTGGCAAATCCTTTGTGTTTTTGGACCCTTACCCCGCCGATCTGCGTGAGGGGTGCAACCGAATTTCAGAAATGTGGCAAAACCTTTGTGTTTTTGGACCCTGATCCCGCCGATGTCAGGAAATTTCAGAAATGTGGCACATCCCTTATCTTTTTGGACCCTGACCCCGCCGATCTGCGTGAGGGGTGCCACCGAATTTTAGAAATGTGGCAAATCCGATCCATGTGTTTTGGGACCCTGACCCCGCCGATCTGCGTGAGGGGTGCAAATTTTCACCCACCCCAGCAATTCAGACAATACGATTTCTCCGTGGTAAAAATGCTGGTTTTGGACCTCCCCCCCTCGCGCGGTCCATCAACAAGGAACACTAAGCAGCAAGAAGCAGACCTGGAACAAGGAACAGTAAGCAGCAAGAAGCATAACTGTAACAGTGGAAACTGGAAGCTGCAACTGGTACAGGAAACTGCGAAGCTTAGGCCTACAGCCTGGTGGCCCCGCAAGGGTGCCAGCGGATACAGAGCAGTATTTCAATCGGGGATGGTGTTACTGCGAGTCTTCATGGGCAGTGTTGACAAAGCCTTCGGACCTGACCCTCAATCTCGGACTGTCGACGGGGGACGAGATTTCCTACAGGAAGTTGGTGGAGGTTTGCTCGGCGGAGCGGAAGCCACCCGTCTTCCCGGACGCATTTGAAGTTGAGCTTCAGAGGAAAGCCTTTACGAACGGCAAGGACGATCGCCCAAGGGTCGCTGAGCTCTACCGCGATGCCTTCGCAAAGCGGCTCCAGTACTCACAGCGTCTCCTTTTCCGCAATCTGCAATGGGACGACGAGCATATGAAGCAGTTGGTCACCGCCCTCGCCGCCTCGGGTGCCGGGCCGAACCTGCAGCTGCTCGACCTCCGCGGCAACCGCGCGGGGGACGAGGGCGCGGCGCGCCTGGCCGAGGCGTTCCGGGCGCCCGGCGCCTTCCCGAAGCTCCGCGAGCTGAACCTCAGCGAGAACCAGCTCGGAGCCGCGGGCGCGGCGCACCTGGCAGAGGCGTTCCAGGCGTCGGGCACGCTGCCCGAGCTGGAGAGTCTGCACCTCGACGGGAATCGGATCGGGAAGGAGGGCGCGTGGCACCTGCAGAAGGCGCTGCGTGCGCCAGGGGCCGTGCCGAGGCTGAAGAGGCTGACGCTGAAGGACAACAGCATCGGAAAACGCACGAAGATCGAGCTGAAAGCCGTCCTGCGTCGACCAGGAATGTGGGAATTCAGTTGCCAATTGGACGACTAGAACTGACGCGCACAGGCTCTACATGTATAGCGAGAGAGGGAGGGGGGTGGAGAGGGAGAGACAGTGAGAGCATGGCATGGAAGAGAGAGAGAGAGAGACTGTGGCGGAGTAGGGAGAGAGAGAGGAGCTCTAACGTTGCAAGCTTGCACCAACCAGATTTTTCGAGGCTTCTAAGACTCCGGTGGATGGCTCTCGCAAGTGCCCACCATTCAGGGATTGTCCGTTGTGCGGGACTTCCGCGACTCCTGTGCACGGCTCGCGTCAATTCACACAACTCTCGGTGGCTGTCCGTTGCGCAGGATCTCTGAGACTTGTTTGCAAGGCCCGCGCCAATTCGCACCAGTCTTTTGTGTTGTCTCTCTTACAAGGCTTTTATGCAGCGCCAATCTTGCCAATTCGCGACCACGGCCAGAATAAGATAGGATGCACCAAAGAGCGATGTCCAGGTTTTGTGAAAACAAAGATGGGGAAGTCTACAGGTCCCCGGCGGCCCTTCCTCCCAAAATCGGCCCCAATACACCCAAGAGGCCCCCAGAAGGCCCCCCAAACCCGTCAGAGTCCCCCAAGAAACCTCTGAAAGACTCCTAGAGGCCCCCCTAAGAAAATCCGCATCAGATTTCAAGAAACCTCCAGCAGGTATGAGGCAGATGCCTTGGACTAGAACCTGAGCGCGCGCGAACGTTTGCGACCGAGGGCTGCCGAGGTGAAGCACTTAAATTTGTACCTGTGCATTCTGAAGGGCATTTTTACCATTGGCGTTATTGCACATTTGTGTCACACAGCCCGCTAGCGCCGGCGTCGTGCTCTGCGACCTGATGCTCGTCACTCCATCTACTAATATTGTGGATTGTGGTCGAAGGTTCTTGGTCGTCTGACTGGTGGTGTCAGAGATACCTTATGTGGCCCTGTTGTGTTTCATGCTGGGCGTGCTCATCGAGCTATTCTGCCTCATGTCCTTCTCCTCCTTCCTCTTCGTCGTTTGCGACCCGAGGGGTGCCGAGGTGAAGCACTTAAATTTGTGCCGCTGTATTCTGAATGGCGCTTTTACCGCTGGCGTTGTTGCACACTCGTGTCACACCTACTAGAAGAGAACCCTGGGCCTAAGCCCTTTCCGGGAAAAAACAAACGTTTCGCTAGGGACATCCTCAAAAATAATACCGCCGGCCCTCTTCCCGCACGTAATTTATCGCAAAATAATTCCGCCGGCCCTCTTCCCATCGATTCTGGGGGCAAACGGCTAAAAGAGAAACCTGGGCCCAAGCCCTTCCTGGGAAAAATACATTTTTCGAGTTTTTAAGCTGATATTCAAGGAATCTTTCTCGTCGTATTCTGAACACTACTTCGCGTGTTGAGGGCTCTACAAGGGTCCCGGCGGTCACGTGGTTGACGGTTTACCGCCGGCTCCCAGTTGGCCCACCCAGCCTGGGCGGACAATGTGTCAACCGCTCGTTTGGAGAATCCAGATGTTTATTCCCTGCAGTCGATCATGGCGCGTTTCATGATGCAGTTCTCAGGACTGCAGCTGCAGCGCAGCTCTCACAAATTAGGAGCAACCGTCGGCCGTCGGGATGCTTTTTTACAGATGATAACCGTTTCGTGAACTTTACTGAAGCAGGAAGCAAGCTACACAGCTTCAGTATTCTCTGCGCCTGTAGTAGGTTATGACGCGTCAGCCTGTCGAATTCTCATGTCCCTAGCTGCACTAGTATCAAAACACTTGGCGGAACCAACTTAGTATAATGCCGAGAAAATAGTTGTTTTCAGTTTTTAGCTGATATTCAAGGAAGCTTTCTCGACGTAGTCTGAACACGTACTTCGCGTGTTCAGAGCTCTACGAGTGTCCCGGCGGTAACCTGGTTGACGGTTTACCGCCGGCTCCCAGTTCTATCGCCTGGCCAGATGCCCCAGGCGCCCCTTGAAATGCGGCGAATCAAACTGGGTCCTGCGGGCGTTCCAGATAATATGCTGTACCGCGTAGAGCTCTTCGGTATCGATGAGCTAGAGGAATTCCGGCGCGGGGTGGAGCTAGTTGGCCCACCTGGCCCGGGCGGACAATGTGGTGACCTGGGGTCGGTTTTTTGAATGCAGATTGAAAGATTTGACCGTTCGTTTTGGGAACCCAGATTTTTATTCCCTGTAGTCGATCATGGCGCGTTTCATGGTGAAATCCTCAGGGTTGTAGGTAGCAGCAGCGCAGCTCTCGAAAATTAGGGGGGACCGTCGGCGATCGGCATGAATTTGCCCAGATGATAATGATTTTGTGAACTAAGTGAAGCAGGAAGCAAGCTACCGAGCTCCAGCTGTTTTTTGGGCAGCTGTAATAGATTAATGATGTCTTGTCGGCCTGTCGAATTCTCAGGTACTTAGCTGTAGTAATACTATCAACGCACTTGGCGGAACGAACTTCGTATAACACCGAAAACGATACATGTTCCGAGTTTTGAAGCTGATATTCAAGGAAGCTGTCTCGCCACATTCTGAGCGCCACTTCGCGTGTGAAGAGCTTTACGAGGGTGCCGGCGGTTACTGCTTCACGGTTTACCGCCTGCTCCCAGTTTGCCTTGCTGCGCCGATGCTTCCTGCTCGAGCCTTGCGCGAGTTTGGGGCCGAGGGCCTCCGCGCGAGAGTGCAACGGCTGCGTCTATTTCTCGCCCGTGAATCACGGTCGCCCAGATGTGTCTGTTCCAGTTGCACCTCTACGGAACGTCGTGCGCTGGCATTCGTGAAGCATCGTTTCCAACGCAGAGTGCGAACGCCCTGGAGGCTAGATTCGGCGGTGAAGCCTGCTTGCTGCGAGATCTAATGTTACGGCAATTAGGGACATCATAGGCAGAGAGTGCCCAGGTGATCAGTGCGGAGGGCTCGTGGTCACCAGACGCGGTCAGCTTTCGCGTCTGGAGAGGCATTGCGTTTCGCAGAGCGCCGCCGCGGTCGTGCGTTTCCTCGCCAGCCATTCCAAGGACAACCGCGCGGCGGCCCTGTCGAGGACATTGTCGTTTAGAGTCGTTCACAATAACAGGGGCTTGGTGTTTACATGTCCTGGGAACGGGAACGCGATGGCACAGTGGTTGTGATGGCAGCTAACCTGCCCGAGTCAGGAACATGATGCATATTGTTTACATTGAACAAAACATCAGTCTACCAATATTCCAACGAAATATGCTTCGTCCTTGCGGCCTTCCTCGTGACATCGTGGAGAACTCTGCGGTGGGTGGTCGTTGGGTTGGCGTCTTTGTGGTCGCGTCCATCCGCGGCGTCTGCGGGTGTCCACTTTCTGATGCTCGGTTGCGTGATCCTCGTGGAATGTGCCCAGCGTGCGATTGGCCATCTCTTGTCCAGGGCGCAGGGGTATCGTCTTCATCTTGGAATGATGCCAACGGGGTTCATTCTGCAGGCTTAGTTCATGTTGGACCAAGCTGATGAGCAAATCGGGTGGGTTCGTTGTGATTTTATTGTTTTCAAGTGACCGCGCTGCTGATCGAAACCAAGATGGGGGCGAACAATTCGAGGACAGCAGCGGTTTGATGTTTTGTGCGACGGGGCCAACTTGGTGCAATGTGCGTCGAGACGTCGAGGCGCCGGCCCCGCGGCCGTCTGGCGCGATCGGTTTGAAGAGGAGGCCGCTTGCAGAATTTTTGGGGCCGTTCTGACGTTTTTTTTTTTGTTTGGGCTGATCGGTCTGACAGTGTGATTGGTTGCAGCTGCGTGGCGAATTTCTGCGCCGAACAAGTTTGCGTTCGTGCGCCGGGTGCGTGGGATAGGCAGCGTTGTTTCTCTTCCTCAGGATTGCGAAGCAGGGCGCTGGCGATCCCGCCGCCGCTGGCGACCTTGCCCCCCGAGGGACGAGGGCGATTTTGGAGGGATAGCGTCTGACCTCAGCTTCCATAGCTCCGACTGCGTGTCTGCCGCTGTTGCGTGCGACTCGGGTGACAGCGACGACGACCTTGGCGATTCCATGGGGGAGAGGGCGAGGAGTCAGAATATGAGGAGGAGTTGTTTACATACTCTGTTGGCATAATGACGGACGCGCCCCCGCCCGGCGACATTCTCCATGCAGAAGATGGCGGGGAGACTGACGATGGAGGCCGACTCGGCAGTGGATGCCTCTGCAATGATTGCGACGGCGGCGCAGATAAATGCAGCTGGGCGTCGCGGTTCCTGCGCCCACTCGCTGACGCTCTGGGCGGCGTTGGGGCAGCGCTCAAGAGGCGGCCAGCTTCAGCGACTCCGTGCGCAGGTAGCGGTTGCGTGCCCGGGAAGGGGAAAGCCAGGTTGCATGCCCGCCCCAAGAAACTCTGCACTCAAGAAATGGTTTGCAATGTGGAAGAAGACTTTATCTGTTCGTCGCGGGACATCTCTGCGATCGCCCAGAGATCGCGCTACGTGGTTTTGGATTATGAACGACAATGGTGAGACGGGCGAGAAGTCCTTGATCTTGTGCCTTGCCCAGGGCGGCTTCCTGCAGAGCTGGAGCCACTGCCATTGCCCGCGCTGTGGCGAGGGGAAAGTCGGGCCGCTTCGGCAGCGCGCGGGCGGAGCGTGGGCGCGCAGATGACGAGCGCGCGGATGCCGGCGATTTATTCTTCCACATGCGGGACATCTTTCTTTCACAACAGGTTCGGGGCAGACGTTCAAGCCGCTGAGAAGCTGAAGCCGCTTTCTTTTCGGACTCATCTTGGGCTTGGCCACCTCTCAGGTCTACTTGCAGTGGGGGGGGAGTAGCGGGTTCTCCGGTGGGGTGCTGAGGCGACTTCACGAGTGTTTGGCTAAGCGCGTCGTCTCACAGGAGTGGAAGATCAGCTTGGGAGGTACCTTCAAGATCAGTGGTATGACGCCGAAGCGGACAAGGTGGACTTGGGGAAGGGGCTCGTCATTGCTAGTGCCATGGAACAACTGAGGTGGCACCAGTGGGCGGGCTTTATAGAGCGTGGACGGCCAAGCATCTGGGTGTTGTGCCGCGCGAACCCCGAGCTAAGAAGCACGAGGGCTTCTGGGCTTGC